TGTATACGGAACGATTAATGCAAATAGATCGCATGGTTAACCTTGGTCAAGAGTTGCAGCCTCGTTAGAGTTCGTTCACCTTGACTGTATGTTTATGTATATCCCAAGTGCTTTCAATGGCCATCTTCAATTCCAGTGTCAATCTGTATAGACAGATATCTGATTATTCGTTATTACACTGTGAATACTTTTCCAATATAAATCGATTGTAAATCAATTTACATCGATGATTCAATTTTTCAAATAAAGCCTGTAAACATAAAGATGACTGCTACTCAAGATCACATACACTACCGGTCAAAAGTTTTTGACCACTTTGGATTGCCTGTTACACAACAATTTTCAGGAGACAGCAACTTTAAGAATATTTCGACGAATTTTTTATCACCCAAATCAATCAATTTCAAATCTATAAAGAATTAGTGGCAAGTTCAATATTCGTGTAAATTGACCAGTAGTGTATATATAAATATTAATTTCATTTAATATCAAAGCTACCTATAGAATCGCACATTTTGTGAAAATATTCGAAAATAGAGTTGGAATAAGCATGTAGAGTGGGGAACAAAGAGACAGGAGAATTATAAAAGGACACGTTTCGCTCGATTATGGAAAGCACATCGCTACGAAGGAAGTGGAGCAGGCGCGTCGCGAGATTTTCCGTATAATTGGGTCTGCGTGCAGCATATCGATATCGAGCGAGTGTTCGTTACGCTTTCTAAGCGAGTTTCCATTCTCGAATATTTTTCTGGAAAATGCCAGATCGCGTCCACAATGGGCAATTACACACGCTCGTAAGCTTTTCCGATTACGGGCCGTTCGAACGCGTCCCATTCGCATTTTCCCCTTTTGTCCCGCATTTTCCTATTCGCCTTTTGTGCAATTCCCATGGCCAATTAGATCAAGATTCGTCATCGATTTCGTTTCACGTCATTTTCAACGCTAGCGATACCGTATGTAGACCGAGAAACAATCACATTTCGAGACTCTCATTTGTGAAATTTGTAAATGAAACTTTTCACGTCTAATTCAATTTCTCTAGAATTACATACTTAGAACGCCCTTTGCACTTGAGGATAGCGTTGTCTGAATCACCGTGTATACATTTTTTAAAATATTAACGAAACATTGTACTTGCCACTTTTATTCTTCTTCGACGATCGCGGCGTATGATAGTTATTATTATCCGATGATCAGACTGTTTCCCAAATGAATCTGAACAGTCGAATTTTTTACGAAGAAAAATAATTTTCCACTGATAAAAAATTCGTTTCCCCAGCGTTTCTGATTTACTAATAAGATTCTTCGGCGTTCCGAGTTTGTTCAAACATGCGCACATCGTTCCACGTTGATTTATTGCAACGTACCGGGTGTTTCACGAGTGGTAACACGATGGCCCTAAAGACAGATAAAAGTGGATCTCGCGTTGTTTGCGTATTACCCAAGTTTGCTCACCTCGTTAATATCCTCGTTTGCTTAACGTTATCAGCATTGATTGTGTCATCTTAGCGCACGTACGATCGCGTAATTCCGTTACCCGCTATGTCAATTTGTCATTCTAATGCGGAAACAATAGACAAGCATCTCGTGTACAAACACTCGTCTTTACCTCGCCTAATTTATCCCATGCTTCGCTACCATCCTTGAACCCATTGGGCATATCCCACTTTCGGATCACCGTGCACATCGGATGCAGAATTAAACGATCCCTCGCGCAGCAATTGCGCGAAACATCTAATATTTCATTCCCGAACGACCCTATACATGTTCGAAACACTCGAGGGGTCTAAAAAATGTCCAGAAAGTAGAACTGTCGTTATGTGTCTGTCGTTACGTTTCCCGAAGTTCTCCCGAGTAAAATTCGACGAACGTTAATTTTCAATTTCGCGGGTAATTCTCGTCTTAGCTGGTCGTTATCTCGTCCGCAGACGAACGCGTGTCGACGAAAGAACCAGG